CTTAGGATGGTTGAAAATTTATCAAAACCGTGAACTAGATAGAATGAACCAACAACAAAATACCCATTTTTTTCAGAACCAATACAGAAAAATTAATCAGGAAACATATTTAAAGAAAAAACAAATTGGCGTTTAGGAATTGATACAAACCAAGGGCGAGAGGGTTACTGGAACGAAGAGGGAGAGAGGAGACAAACCAACCTAGATTCTGCAAAAATAAAAATAAAACTTTAAACCCAAATACGAAATAAGAAATTGAATTCTTGAAATAGATACTTACAAAGCAATCAGACTTCTTCTTAGAGACCATGTAGCCACATACAGAGAGAGAGAGAGAGAGGGGGACAGAGACAGAGACATATAGATGAGGAGAGGGAGAGGGAGAGGGAGAGGTAGAGTAGATAGTGGGTGTGCGAATTTTAGGGTTTGGGTCTGGAAAAGAGATAAGGAGAGAGGAGGGGGGAAGTGGTTTCGATTTGGGGCTGAAAAGAGAAAAGAAGCGTGAATTTTTTTTTAGGATGAGAGAATGAGAGGGGTAGCGCGAAATTAGAATTTCACTCAAAAAAGAGCGCCAGCGAAAACAAAATAGGGAGGAGAAATCAATGTCTATGACACACATGCCATGTCATAAAAATCAATGTCCAAGACTCTGCCACGTGTCAATCTAATATATTTCATATTATTTATCGATAATTTAATTTTTAAAATTCATAATAAATAAATTAAAAATCATAAAAATACACAGAAAATTCCTATGAGTATCTTGTGATATTCCTATGTATTAGGCCCAACTCGTGTGTCAATTGGTTTTCTTTTTTTAGTTTTTAGAATTAAGAAAAGAAAAAATGGGTAGTTGTTTTCCCTAAAAGTAAGATACATTATCTGATTTTGTTTTTAATTTTAATTTTTTTTAATTGTGAATTTACCATATTATCCTCATTTAATTAATAATTTCAATTCTTAATATTTGAATTAACCAAGGGCATTTTCTGGTATTTTGAATGTTTCACCATTCTCTGCCTTTTGCTTTATATATATAGATTAGTGTGACAAGTAGGTATGTATTGTTTTGTTATTGTATTTTTCTCATGCAATTAATTATTTCTTTCTACTTCACAACTTATTTAAAAATCGTTCATAATTCAAACAATTCCCAAAAAAATAGTGTCAGGATTGGTATGACACTTCCTTCGATTACATACTTCAAATTTCGATCCTGTCCTTATGTGATCAAATAAACAATAGCTTAGGGTTTACAAAGTGTGGTTATGTTTTCATTTGCATCATTCACATTTAAGGATGCCCCCCAAATTGTAATTTTAAAACAATTGTAAACCACTTTTTGGACTTGGGATACGAAGTATTGGTGCTAAGAAATACGTATATATTTTTTTGTTCGCACAGTGAGCCTAATATCCCATCCACTTCCAGGTGTTAGCAAGGAAAACCACCACTTGGCATATCATCCAATTAACTATTTCTTTGTACTTCAAAATTGATTTAAAATGGTAGACCCATGGAGGAATGCTATTTATATTAGGGATGAGCCCCTAATTCTAATTTTTACACTTTAAAATTGATTACCTTTTAGGGTCAATAATAATTCAAAAGGTGTTAGGGTTTACAAGGTGGTTGAAATAACTTTCTTTCCCACTCATGCAAGGTTAGGAACGGCATTTGACCACCTACTTTTCACAACCCCCATAAAATATAATTCAAAACTCCATTTTGAACGATCAAAATATGCTCACATAATCCATACAGTGAAGGATATTAAAGATATGCTGATACTGTTGTTAGTTGTATCATTTCTCAATTTTAGCAATGAATTTCATGAAAATGTCAAAAGTGTTTTGGTTTTTCGGAAATATGAATATCATTTCCAGTTTTTCGGTTACATTTGTATTTCCAATATTAAGCCTTTTGCCTTTCAGATGATTCAGGAAAAGGTAACAATGGTTTCGCCTTTCTGCCATCTTTGTTTTTTTTTTTTGTTGCTATCAAGGTAAGTTCTTTTTTTGTTGCTATCAATGTGGCATTTGTGAATCGTGCAGTGCATATCAAATGTAAGAACAACTCTTAGCAAGAAAACTATTTTCAACGGATTTTGAACTACCAGATCAACTCTTAGCTAGAAAACTATTTTCAACAGATTTTAAACTACTAGAACAATGATGGAGTCCTACACAAATCTAATTTCGAATCCTAGATACATCTAAAATAAGTGTCACCTAGTGCTTTCGCATTTCAAGGTTAAAGGACAGAAACACCTTATTCACAGACGACCAAGGTTTACCAAACTTAGGGATTCGCCGTTCACCATTGTCACCGGACCCTTATTATGTTTCATGTCTTCCTTTCTCCCATCATCCTGCATATCAGTCAAATCTATTGCAGCATATTTCTAAATAGAGACATACCAGTTATGCATCATAATAGATAGTAACTGAACCAACTGAGCATCCATAAATATTATCGTCCATTCAATCATAACAAATAGCCAATGCTTCATAATAGATAGGTAATACATCATAACAGATACAAAAAGCATCATAACATACACTAATTGCATCATACCATACACAAAATGCATCATAACAGATACAACATGCATCAAAACAGATCCCAAGTGAATCATAACAGATACCAACGGTATCATAACAGATAGCAAATTTATCAAAAGATATACCGAATGCATCACAACAGATACCAAGCGCATCATAGCAGATGCCAAATCACCCAAATCTAGAACATAGTATCTAGTATCATCGAGCCCAAATCTACCAACTTAGCACACCTGTTCTGCCGCTCCCGTAGCATATACAATCCCATATCCATGTTCTACACAAAGGTGTTTCCAAAATTAACTCAAACAATAATATATTAGCACAATCATCCAAAACCATATCAATCACTACAACAAAAATACTATATCACAACATGAATACAACAAAATCGCACTACTCGTGAAGGAATCTTCTACAAATTCTGTTAGATATATGGTATCCATTTTCTTCTTTCAGTATATTTTCATCATTTTCTTGTATATTATTTTCATTTCCTTTAAAGTATTGGTATGGTTCTTCTGTTCCTTTCGAACCTAAATACAATCCTTCTAGGAATTTCTCTATAATCTCTTTCTAATTTGTTTTCTATAATATTACTTACTTCTTATACTTTCTCTAATGTCTTCTCAGCATCCAAACAAATATTAACTTTTGGTTGCTCTACAATCTGTATATCCATGAGATTTATGATTATAGATGAGGATGAAATGCTAACTGTTTTTCGAAAGAGGCTCTCTACCAATAACAGTTGAGGAAAAAAAACGAAGAAGAAATCCAAGAGCAAGTTGTGTATGAGTATTATCAACACATTAACATACATGTCACACCCATATCCACATTACTCAAACTATTTTCAACACATCAAGATACAGACATCATACCCATATTCACGTGAATAGTTGCAGCCATTGCCTTACCTTTGCCTTACCTTAGCCTTTTGGGGTGGACTTGCTCTTAGGAGTCCTCGTTAGAGCCCAGCGCTTAGCGTAAAAGCTTACACATGTGATAGATATAGATATAGCCTAAGCCCAACAAAGCAAAATACTTAACTGAATTTGCGTAGACATACCAATCCACCTACCTTAACTATGTATCTGGTTCCCGAAAAGAGGAAAAAAAAAACAGTTTTTTAATTTTTTATTAAAAAAAAGGAGTCACCAAAGATTTTTATAGAATTATGAATAAAGAAAGAAAAAACTGGTTGGAGAGGGTTTGTTAGCTTAAATTATGTTTAGAATATTCCCAAATGTTGGTTGGTTTTTTTTCATAGTTCCAATCCAAATGCGCTGTCACTCGATGGAGGGTTTGGTTTGGAATTTTGTGGATTAGGTGATGCCTTATGTGCATATGTTAAACTAAACCTCCAAATTGATTCAAATTTAATGTATTTTATTCACACAAAGAAGAAAACACCTAGCTGAACTGAGCCAGAGATCACGTGGCGAGGGCAGGTAAATTTGACCACGTGGACTAAAATCATGTATGTATGTAGCCTGTGTCGGTGGTGGTGATCAGTGGATCAAGTTTGCTTGCCCTCCTTCCAAATCCATTGGAATTTGTTTGATGCAGAATTGCAGACTGCAGAGCAATAACTAAAAGTTTGATTAATTGCACTCAACCCTTAAGGGCTCGTTTGGTACACAGGATTGTCTTG